AAAACTTTTGCCGACGTACAGTTTGACACACAGATGTTCTCAAAGTATATTCATAACCTCTCGCATGCAAAAACGATCGTGGCAACGTCGCAAGTTTGGCGTATGGCCGTCTTTAAAATTTCGCGCCAAAAGTAGCAGACAAGCTGTAGTATTTAACAAGCGCTATTGCCACGTTTACAAATTCACCTGTCATTTACAGTAAATGTTAAAATAATTTTTCAAGTTTGATGTTAAATATCTTTTAAACAAGACGGTGAAAAATTTTCATTTTTTTTTATAAAAGTTCATTTTGGTTCAATAAATAAAACTTTAGTTTTTCTAAAAAAATCTGTCGATTAGTATAAGTGCAAAAATTAAAAATCTGTGGTTTTCATATGGTTTTCCTATACCGTACATGTTAAAAATCGAAACTTTGATTTCATTTTTTGAGACTTACAGACGCTCAATTTTATTTTAATAGGCCTTATTTTGTAGATAAATATCCAAAGAATAATTATGTGAAATTTAAAAAAATTCTGTCGAAAACGAATTTACGCGACAAATACCTTAAGTATAAAAAATATGCAGCCATGGGTATCTACAAGTTTTAATCATACACTAGTGATAAAGTATACATGATTATTATTTCATTGCAAATGTTTTATCCTTTTAAAAAATGCATTAAAGAAAATATAAAGAGATTATGAAAAAAATATAGTTCGGTTGTTTTAGAGGAGCAAGTGAATAGCGGTTTTTTTAAAAGAACAACGAGAAAAAAGTTTTTTTAGCGTGGAGATATCGAAATGTTAAAGGGTACACCACTTTGACCGCATGAAAAAATACGCGTTTTCAAGAATTTTTATTGAACAATGGAAATATTTTTATTTAAAATGAAGTACATATCTGTATTATACTACTTTTTAAGTACAAAAAGAAAATTCGAAAAATTTTTTTTTAAATGCCTGTTTGGCAGGTGATTTAGAGCAGCGATGCAAAAATTTATGGGCAGACGATGGGCATGATAATTCAGTCCAGATTTAAGCTAAAACAAAAACCCGTACGTATTTCTATAGATAATTATATCACAAACAAAATAAAAAAAGAAATAAGAGAATCGTCTGAAAATTGTGGCAGCTATAGTGCCCACCGATTTTTAAAATGCAGTTTTGAGTAAAACGCGTTTAAAGTTTTCATTACAGCGTAAACGTCAGCGCAGTTTTGCGCGACCCTGCTTGCACAGTTCGAAAATTGCCTTTTCACTTGAGATATCGATATATAACTAATGACATATCATTTTGGTGTCCATAAAGAGTACTTTAAGAAAAAAAAACAATTTTTGATTTTGTGAAAATTTCAAAGTGGTGTAACCCCTTAAGGCGCCAAAACGTTCAGAAAATGTATGTTTTTTATAATTTTTTTTTCATACAATAAATTTGAACATATTGATATCTGAAAGTTCACTATAAAATATGTAAGTTATAAAATTTTTGTTAAAAAATATTAAAAATTAGGTTCGTATCAACAGATATTTTGGACCCCTTTCCAAAAAAATTGCTTTTGCGGTGGTCAAGATATATTTTGACTGCTTCATTTATAAATAAAAAATTTTCTGTTAATGGATGAATATAGCTCGTGATTGAACAAAGGGTTTAAAAAAAAGAAATTTAAATTTTTTACAGTGTCTTAATGGTCCTAAAAATGGGAACTTTTGACAAAAGATAGTGTAAAAAATTTAAATTTCTTTAAAAATCCTTAGTTCAATCACGAGCTTTTGGAAAGGGGCCCATATAACTGTTGCTACGGGCCGGATTTTTAATCATTTTTATCAAAAATTTTATATATTGCTTATTTAATAGTGTACTTTCAGATACCAAAATGTCCATATAAAAAAATTTATTTATTTTATGAAAAAAAATTAATAAAAAAGACCTGGTCGTTTTGACCAATGTAACCCCTTAACAGTTGTCAAGCATAACAATTGACTCACACTGTCCGTAAAAGCAAGTATTTTAAGAGATGATTGAATTTGCTTAGAATAATTTGTTACTCGGGGGTTTTCGGGGTCGCTGATTACGAATATATCAAATTTTCAAAATTCAAAATGGCGGACGACTTTTTTAAAAATTTATTCAATTTGCCTGAATTTCGTTACTTGGATGTTTTCTGGGTCACTGATTATGAATCTGACCTAAGATTTTTTTATTTTGACATCATACTCGTAACGAGAGACCCCAAAAATCCTCAAGTAAAAATTCTAATTCAATCCAATTATTTTTTAAAATAGTTGTATTTACGGACAGTGTGAGTCATTTTTATGATTGACAACTGTTAAAAATATCAATTTTGACAGATAAGTTAGTTTGTTGTTGGTAATATCGCTATATCTTCGTAAAGTAGAGGGTTCAAATTTTAATTTAACTCCTATGACAAGTCTCTAGGACGTCGGATTTACCCGGTAGAAATTTTTAAAAAATGCTAAAAACGTGAAATGACTTCTGGATCTCAAACAAAAATTTTTTGTTGCAGCCTCGTGTAATTAATATTCAATAACATGTTACTAAACGAATAAATATCAACTCCAAATTTTTAAAAACTAATAACTCATTTTGATATTTGAAGTAAATATTTACAGTATTCGAAATATTAAAATAAACTTTTCTTTAACCTTTAACGTTTCATTCAATAACATCATTTAAGGACCTGTGACGCCTTCAGGCGACATTTTGATTTCTTAAGTTCAATGAGCACAACTTTCTTAGTTTTAATTTTTCATTTAATTCAGCTGATCTTTATATCGAAAATTGTGTTTATTAAGCTAAAAAACATAATTGTTTTTTTAGCAGTCAGTGGAAAAAACGTTTTAGAAAAATAAAAAACTCAATTTTTGTCTAATTTTGGAGTAACTTAAAAATTCTGAAATAATTTGATCGACTTTAGTTAAAATTTCATACTTACTGAAAAAATCGCAGCATTCAAATTCAACAGTAATTAATAAATTCATTCGATAATTTGACCAAAGTCAATAATAATTTCGCTATATACTATAGTTAATTAGTTTTTACTAATTTAATTATTTCTGGATATAAATTTATAGTTATTTTTTTTCACATAATAACGTTTATTAATTGTTAAAGAATTAAACTCGAAATATATTCCAATTTATTTAATTAATTGAGAAATAAATCAATTTTTTAATATTGATCAATTAAATTAATTTTCAGTAATAAAAAGTGAATTACTAATCAATTTATATTTAACATTTCCGATTGACATACTTAACTTTTTATACAGAAGTTAAGAATAGTGGGTACCGTAAATTTAAACAATTTAACAATAATTCACGAATTCACAAATTTTAAAACATATATATTTTTTGTACCTAATAAAAATTTTTTTTTTATTAATGAGCTCTAAAATATAAAAATGACATATTTTTGGTTTCAATTATCAAGTATATAGAAAAGTACAAAATATTTGAGCTCTGGTAAATTGTTCGATCGGAAAGCAGAGACTTTTTTCAATAAATTAAACAAAGTTTTAAAATGGGACAGCAGTGGGTTTTTAAGAAAATAAAAAAAGTGTTTAAAAAGTTGTATTTCTTCATTTTTTGAAAGTATATTCTTGTCCCACTTTCAGTGGGAATTATTGGAAAAAAATTTCAGCTTTTCAATCAAAATAAATAAATAAAATGATAAAAAAGGTGGTTTTTGTAAAAATTTAAAAAGATATATTTTTAAAAAAATTTGAATAAAACAATGTCCCTTTAAAATCTATTTTTTCGATTAGAACAGTTCAAGTGGAATTGCTCATTTATTTGATATTTTTCAATATTGAATCCTGAGAATATTTATTTATGCATGTGTTATTCTTGGCAGTACATATTTAATTAATTCAAGATACTGTAAAAAACTTGTTACTTGCAAATTTAATACAAAATACACAATGGAGAAATAAATTGCAACACGTAATTTTCTTGCAGGAAAAATGATTTAAATTTAAAGCAGTACATAAAAATAAAACATAGAAAAACTAAAAACATTTATACAAAAAATAGAACTTGTAAAGAAACATATCATGTCAGTACGACATAATAAAAAATAATTAAGTTGACATGTGTTGTGCGATTTATATTTTAAACATTTCTTCTGACAGCAAAAATTATTTTCTACCATTTTACAAAAAAATGTATGCATGAATAATTACATATAAAAAACATTGTGTTGTTTCATTTGTATGAAAAATATTTATTAAAAAATTAAACAATGCAAATTTTTATTTAGCAACAAGAAGACACAATTTGTGAGAAATAAAAAAAATTTGATTGACAGTTTCCTTCTGAAAAGATAAAAAATATGGTAAACTTAAGAAACAGATGAATAAATAAAACGAAAAATGAAATTTACATCTCTAATTAAATACTTGATACAATAGGTATTAAAGAGTGATCAAAAGTGCTTGACTCCTTTCTACCACCTTGGGGATAACAAAAGCGAAGAATTAATTGTTCGCTTCGTGATTATTGCAACAAAAACGAAAATTTTACAAAGAACATGATTTAATCATTGAAGACTGAAGAATTCACGCAGGAAATACAGTCGGAGTAGACTCATATTTATTAACTTAGTGAATTCAAACTCGAAACGTCAAAATAAATGTGTCAAAAATGAAATATGCAGTAAAGTAAGAGATAAAAATGAAATTGAAATACGATGCGAATGCAGAATAAAGAAAGAAGTTAGGAGTAGAGTGAGTCACAAGTTACAGATAGAAAGATGCTTAGAACCGACATGATGCACGATTCGACGTATGTCGTGCGAAAGCGAAGACCAAGGTGAACACTCACAGATCCTACTCCACAATTTTTTGTAATATCTTTGTTAGCCTCAAATGAGGGGAATACGTTCGAAAAACTGCGTTCCACAATAAACTTTTGCAGTAAAACACTTTTGATCACTCGTGCAGATGGTAATTGTTAAATAAAATCACTAAAATCGAAAGAAATCACACAAGGTTTTACTTACGGCCAAGACTGTTGTTTAGGAAGGGTTTCGCAATCTATCGGTCACGCTCGGAAATTTCCGACTATCACTGTTAACTTCAGCGAGTTATAGTATATCACAAAAATTTAAACTTTTTTAATCACTACACTTTTATTTCAACTGGTAAAAAATATAAATACCTTAATTTATTCTGTACACTTTAATATATTTCTATTACACTACCGTCAAAATTGACTTATAGATTTATCTTTTTTAGGTATTACCTTGACACTAGTAGTGATAATACTTGAACACAAGCATACAGTCCAAGAAGACTAGAGACATAAATGCAAACTATGCTGATCCCACCAGTATAGGGATGGGCCATCTCGATTCGATTTTCTGTATTCGATTACTCGAGGCTTCCTATGGGTGCGGCCACACCTGCCTGCAGGTTGTTGGCATGGTAACATACAGGAGTAAAGGCCAACGCAGAATAGATCTGTAACCGGAACCGCAATCGTAAGCGTAACCGTAAGAATGAGTTAAAGAAGGATAGGTATATTGTTTATCCTTCTCTAACTCATTCTTACGCTTACGGTTACGATTGCGGTTCCGGTTACAAATCTATTCTGCGTTGGCCTTAAGAATGTCCGTCAAGCAGGGATGGGTGCGTATAATACATGATGTATAAAGGCCAACGCAGAATAGATCTGTAACCGGACCGCAATCGTAACCGTAAGGGTGCGATCCCATGTGAGCAGAATACGTCGACCGAAAGCAGAAAATTATGAGAGTGAAAAGAACAACAATATCTACCTATCTCTTTTGCACTCACGATTTTCTGCTTTCGGTCGACGTATTCTGCTCACATGGGATTGCACCCTAAGCGTAAGAATGAGTTAGAGAAGGATAAACAATATACCTATCTTTCTTTAACTCCTTCTTACGGTTACGCTTACGATTGCGGTTCCGGTTACAGATCTATTCTGCGTTGGCCTTAATACGTGGCTTTATACATGTATAATACTACGTATATTACGTCCTAGGTTTTCTACATTATGTATATTACATGTGATGACGTAACTCAGTAACTGAAAGGTGGTATTTTAAAATTTCTTTGTTTTTAAATTAAAAAAATTTTTATCGTTTTGTTAATAGTAAAATAAAATGTTTAGGTATTAATTAAAATCTTTACATATTTAATTTCTTTTATTTAGAAATTTAATCATAGCCGTCACAGTAATATATGTATATGATGTATATATAAGCATACAACATAACGTATATTCACTAGTGTCATAGTAGTGCAAAACTTTTTTTATCAATTAAAATTTTGTTTTAAATTTAAATATAGGAATAATGGTTATATAAATAATAAATAACAAACATTTGAGGTTATGGTAAAGAGGGTAAATATGTCAAAATAAGTCTGCCATCATGATTATGTATTTTACCTAGTTTTATACAGTTTTATACGTATAATACGTCGAAAATGTATTATACGTATAAAACCTCGAGTGACGCGTCAAAACCCATCCCTGCCGTCAAGTCAAATTTATTGCAATTTCTGAGACGCATATGCATATCCCCTAATCGCCAAGTCGTCATCAAATAGTCGAATGCCAAGTAATCGAATGGACAAAACGTCGAATGCTAAAAACATCGAATCGGCATTTAGTCGAATGCTAAAAACATCGAATCGTCAACATGTCGAATGTTTAAAACGTCGAATTATCAATTCGTCGAATGTTAAAAATATCGAATCGTCAATATGACGAATGTTCAAAACGTCGAATTATCAATTCGTCGAATGTTAAAAACATCGAATTGTCATGTAGTCGAATGCTAAAAATATCGAATCTTCAGTTAATCGAATGCTAAAAACATCGAATTCTCAATTCGTCGAATGTTCAAAACGTCGAATGTTTAAAACGTCGAATGCTAAAGACGTCGAATGCTCAAAACGTCGAATCGTCATTTAGTCGAATGGTAAAACCATCGAATAGTCCATTCGCCGAATGCTTAAATAGTCGAAACGCCATCTGTTCGAATTATCAAGTAGTAGAATGGTAAAGTTGTCGAATGTTCAAAACGTCGGATCGTCATCTGTTCGAATTGCCAAGTAGTAGAATGGTAAAGTAGTCGAATGTTCAAAACATCGAATCGTCATTTAGTCGAATGCTAAAAACATCGAATCTTCATTTAATCGAATGCTAAAAACATCGAATTCTCAATTCGTCGAATGTTCAAAACGTCGAATGATAAAAACGTCGAATGCTAAAAACATCGAATCGTCAACATGTCGAATGTTCAAAACGTCGAATTATCAATTTGTCGAATGCTCAAAACATCGAATTCTCAAATCGTCGAATGCTCAAATAGTCAAAACGCCATCTGTTCGAAATGTCAAGTAGTAGAATGGTAAAGTAGTCGAATGGTAAAGTAGTCGAAACGCCATCTGTTCGAATTGCCAAGTAGTAGAATGGTAAAGTAGTCGAATGTTCAAAACGTCGAATGATAAAAACATCGAATGCTCAGAACATCGAACTGTTAATTCGTCGAATGCTCAAAACGTCGAATGATAAAAACGTCGAATGCTAAAAACATCGAATCGTCAAAAGTTCGAAAAAGTTCTTTGTTTTAAGTTAATGTCTTCTGAAGACAAAGAACTTTTTCGAACTTTTGACGATTCGATGTTTTTATCATTCGACGTTTTGAGCATTCGACGAATTAACAGTTCGATGTTCTGAGCATTCGACGTTTTTATCATTCGACGTTTTGAACATTCGACTACTTTACCATTCTACTACTTGGCAATTCGAACAGATGGCGTTTCGACTACTTTACCATTCTACTACTTGACATTTCGAATAGATGGCGTTTCGACTATTTGAGCATTCGACGATTTGAGAATTCGATGTTTTTAGCATTCGACGTTTTGATCATTCGACGTTTTGAACATTCGACATGTTGACGATTCGATGTTTTTAGCATTCGACGTTTTTATCATTCGACGTTTTGAACATTCGACGAATTGAGAATTCGATGTTTTTAGCATTCAATTAAATGAAGATTCGATGTTTTTAGCATTCGACTAAGGCTGCGTTTACACCTCTGCAGGCAGCCTGCCTGCCTGCAGGTTGTCATGGTAACGTACAAGAGTAAGAGAGTCAGTGACTTCAAACTTCTCCCTTACTCTCGTTGCTCCTGCCTGCGCAGGCAGGCAGCCTGCAGAGGTGTTACCGCAGCCTAAAGGTGCTTCTATACCTCCGGTGGATTGGTCAAGCAATCGGCTTGATGAATTTTCACGGTCGGGTCACTCAATTTGATTGGTTGAAGAGTAAATTCTATTATTACTGTTCCTGAAAATTAGAAACAGTGAAAATGGAATCTTTTTTAGTACAGCCAATCAAATTACGTTATCCGACGTGAAAATTCATCAAGGCCAACGCAGAATAGATTTGTAACCGGAACCGCAATCGTAAGCGTAACCGTAAGAATGAGTTAAAGAAGGATAGGTATATTGTTTATCCTTCTCTAACTCATTCTTACGCTTACGGTTACGATTGCGGTTCCGGTTACAGATCTATTCTGCGTTGGCCTTCAAGCCGATTGCTTGACCAATCCACCGGAGGTATAGAAGCACCTTAAAGACCAACGCAGATTAGATCTGTAACCGGAACCGCAATCGTAACCGTAAGCGTAAGGGTTCGATCCCATGTGAGCAGAATACGTCGACCGAAAGCAGAAAATTATGAGAGTGAAAAGAACAACAATATCTACCTATCTCTTTTCCATTCATGATTTTCTGCTTTCGGTCGACGTATTCTGCTCTCATGGGATCGCACCCTAAGAATGAGTTAGAAAAGGATAAACAATATACCTATCCTTCTTTAACTCATTCTTACGGTGACGCTTACGATTGCGGTTCCGGTTACAGATCTATTCTGCGTTGGCCTTTAATGACGATTCGATGTTTTGAACATTCGACAACTTTACCATTCTACTACTTGATAATTCGAACAGATGGCGTTTCGACTTTTTGTCCATTCTACACTGTAAAAAAATCTGGTGTAAATTTACTATGTCCGACGTTGGAAAGTTTGGTCACTATGTCCGACGTGGTATTTTTACACGCCGACTGTAATCTACATAACCTGCAAATATTTTTTGAAATAATATTTTCAGTCGTAACTTTTTGTATTTATGAAATATAGCCCAAAACTTTTTGTAATATTATTATTTACTTATAAATTAGCATATACTTTCTATAAATGTACATTATATACACTTTTTTAGAGTTATTTATAAAAACTTGAAAATTTTTTGAAAATCTTAAAGGAATAAGAAAATTACATTCGCCATGTAATTGTACAGATCGTGCGACGTAATATTACGTCAAAGTGTAGAAATACACGCAATGTAAAAATACCACGTCGGACATAGTGATCAAATTTTCCTACGTCGGACGTAGTAAATTTACACAAAACTATTAAATTACATAGTCGTATAATGTAAAATTATTAAAAATAGTAAAACTACTTTTGGAACGAAATAAATTTACTACGTACAACCTATAATTTTGATGTGTGAAATTACAAGTTTCGTGTTATTTTACACCAGATTTTTTTACAGTGTACTACTTGGCAATTCGAACAGATGACGATTCGACGTTTTGAACATTCGACAACTTTACCATTATACTACTTGATAATTCGAACAGATGGCGTTTCGACTATTTAAGCATTCGACGAATGGACTATTCGATGGTTTTACCATTCGACTAAATGACGATTCGACGTTATGAGCATTCGACGTTTTGAACATTCGACGTTTTTAGCATTCGACGTTTTAAACATTCGACGTTTTGAACATTCGACGAATTGAGAATTCGATGTTTTTAGCATTCGATTAACTGAAGATTCGATATTTTTAGCATTCGACCACATAACGATTCGATGTTTTTAGCATTCGACGTTTTTATCATTCGACGTTTTGAACATTCGATGTTTTTAACATTCGACGAATTGATAAAGGCCAACGCAGAATAGATCTGTAACCGGAACCGCAATCTTAACCGTAGCGTAAGAATGAGTTAGAGAAGGATAAACAATATCTCTATCCTTCTTTAACTCATTCTTAATATGGTTACGCTTACGATTGCGGTTCCGGTTACAGATCTATTCTGCGTTGGCCTTAATTCGACGTTTTGAACATTCGACGAATTGAGAATTCGATGTTTTTAGCATTCGATTAACTGAAGATTCGATATTTTTAGCATTCGACTACATAACGATTCGATGTTTTTAACATTCGACGAATTGATCGACGTTTTGAACATTCGACGTATTGACAATTCGATGTTTTAAGCATTCGACTAAATGCCGATTCGATGTTTTTAGCATTCGACGTTTTGTCCATTCGATTACTTGGCATTCGACTATTTGATCCAGGGATCATTCGACGACTTGGGGATTAGGGGATATGCATGCGTCTCGTAAAAAACGACAGAGATATATTTCTGTCCTTTTCTAACTCATGCTTTGCGTTCACGAAGTAGTTGTGCTTAGGCCTTAAAAAGGTCTTAAATTTTGTTTCCACCACAAAGGTGTAAATGCACCCTTTAAGCATCATAATTTTACACATGTGGAATGACAGAAATGGCGCCAAGTTCTGATATAAATTTTATTTCCTACTTTAAAAGTCACAATAAAGTACGAGAGCAACAAAGTCATACAGCAAAAGTTCACAGCGTTGGATGGAGTTGTGACGGAAAGTATTTAGCTTCTGGTTCTTTTGACAAATGTGTTTGCGTGTTTTCGCTTTGCACCGATCGCCTGGTAAACATTTATTTTTTAATCGAATTTTGTGTATAAAAATATGTTCGTTTTATAGTACGGGGTAGGTTTATATTTTTCTATAAAGTACACTTATTCTCGACAAATTCAATAATTAATTTGCTTTTAAAAAAATTTTAATATTTAATTATCTACGGATAAGTAATAGCGAACCTTTTGTTTGTGTTTCTTATTATCATACTTTTAATATAACCTTTAACTTTCCTAAAATATGTTCTATGATAATTTATTTTTTCTAATTTTCTATCAAGAAATGATTTTTGGTGAAAACTATCACAAAAAATATAAGTTAATTTTTTTCTTTCTATTAGAAAATATTTGGACTTAAATGTTTAACTATAGATATAGGAATACTTAAATTTTTTTAAATTTTATAAGCTTGTTATATTTTAGAAACAAGAAACGACGTTCCGTGGCCATCTGGGAAGTGTAGATCAACTTTGCTGGCATGCTTTTCATCCAGAATTATTATCGACAGCGAGCGGTGACAAGACAGTGCGAATATGGGACATGCGATCACAGAAATGTACAGCAAATATAGGAACAAGAGGTGAAAATATTAATATATCATGGTCTCCTGACGGAAACACGATAGCTGTTGGAAACAAGGAAGATCTTGTTACGTTCATTGATGCCAGGGCCCAAAAAATTAGAGCTGAGGAACAGTTTAATTTTGAAGTAAGTTTACAAAAGAGAGAAGTTTTTTATTTATTTTAATTTTAATTTATTTTAGAATGTGAAAAAGAGCTGTGCACAAGAACGGGCCATTTGATAAATATTAGCTCGTGGCATCGAAAAGTTCAAGTTTAATTGGGAATTAACATGAGTTTACACTGCAGTTCTGTCAAACTCTATGTTGGGTTAATCGACTGGAAATCATCTGAGAGTGGTCGCTGGCATATTTAAAAAAAATCTAGTTTAAATATATGTAAAACTAGATGAATATTTTAGTTTATTGGTCATAACATTATTGTGTAAATTTTATTTCCTTTTAAATTATTATTAATCGAAATTAGGAGCTTCACGGCGAAATTACGTAACCTTAAATGTTGAACTTTTTTGAAAAGGTTATTATTCAAAAACTATTAAATATACGATAATATTACTTACAGAAACAAATCAATTTATTCTGCGTGTAAATTTGATGTAATTACTGTACAATTATTACATTCAAAGATATTAATTTGAATTTAAAAATTTTCACAATTTTTCGAAGCTTGGAACTTTTTTCTGGAAGCTTTAAAAAATTTGGGGTTTTGCACATATTTTAATATTCATATAATTTACGTGCCATTAAAATTTGATAAGGCTATTCTGCTTCGTTTGAGAAATGATAATTTTGAAAAATTGTTACTAAAAAAGGTTAATCATAATGAATTGAAGTAAACAAAACAATTACTCGTCTCTCTTTTTTATGAGAATAAAGAGAGATGTAAAACTTTTCAAGTCTTAGAACTAACCTTTTTCAGTGACAATTTTTCAAAATTATTATTTCTCAAACGAAACAAAATAGAAAAAAGTTTCAATCTTCAAAAAATTGTGAAAATCTTTTTTCGATAAAATTTTTAAATTCAAATTAATATCTTTGAATGGAATAATTGTATAATATTTACATCAAATTTATACGCAGAATAAATTGATTTATGTTTCTGGTAAGTAATATTATCTAATATTTAATAGTTTTTGAATAATAACGTTTCCAAAAAAGTGCAACATTTAAGGTTACGAAATTTCGCCGTGTACCTCCTACTTTCGATTAATAATAATTTAAAAGGAAATAAAATGTACACGATAATATTACACAGTGCAATAGCATTTTTATTTCTGAGATCAGAGAGGGTGATTCTTATAGGTTTTTTAATGCTGAACGCGAATCCGTAATCAGAATTGTTCCATCACCCTAGGTTTTCGAGAAATTTGACCTTGAAAATTTTTTAAATGCCGTTTTTGAGGTACTTTCTGGTTTTTTATTAGGGTACAAAATTTTTTCCTAGGGTTTTCATGATATGAGCCGCCGGATCGTAGAAGGGCACGTAAATTTTTTTCGGGCGAAATCTAAGTCTCCTGAATACTCAAAATTCAACTTCTGAATTTAAATATTTTAAATACATATCCTTATAGAAAATTTCATTGCGCATTTTTTTTTTCCTATGAAATTTTTTTGTATCTATTACCGTTTTTGAAATATTTGGAAAAAATTGTTTTTTTGAAAACTGTAAATTTAATAACATTTTTCACTACAACTCACGATATTTCAGGCAATTTAAAAAATTTTTTAATGAAACAAAAAATAAAATATGTCTTAATTTATTCTACGAATGATAAAAAAAAGAAAAAAGTTGTTTTCTGTATAAACAAAATTGTTATTAATTTTTTTCTTTATTAATGTAAAAACCATGAACTATACAATTTTCACGGCTCTCGTTTAACGGGCGAATTTTAAATAACAGAGAACTTTCAGTGAGAAAGTTGTTCATTAGACTTTTTAAAAATATCTATTTTTCGATGAGTTTTCCTTGTTTAAAGTTCTCGTCGCAACATTGTTTTTGGTTATAACATTTTTATAAACAAATTAGATGGCTTCGGGCGGACACATTCTCATCCGCGCTTCGCGCGGGGGCTCGCAAGTTTCAGCGCGTCTCGGGGTGCGCGAAGATTGTTCGTCGCGCTTCGCTCGCAGTGCGGCCTCTAACATCATGATCTACGACTCTCAGATGATTTTCAGTGGATTGAACCTGTTATATTTTTTTTATTTCTTCACAATTTGACTTATGACTATGCATTCTTACGGTTTTGGATGTGCCGAAGACGAATCTGATGTCAAAAATAACTTCTTACAGCTACGAGCTGTCACGTTTTGAAAAATGAGAATTTTAACAAGTTTTACATTCATTTTCACAAGTTTAACAGTTTTGTGAGAAAATTCAGTTCATATCTAGGAATTTAATACATTTTTAACAGTTAACAGCAGCCAAAAAATGACAAGTTCTTTAAGGAGTTTCAAATTAATTTTCTCAAAAGTAACAACTTTATGGAAAAATTCCTAAGATGTGAACTAAGTTGAAATTAGTTAACTTTCTTAAAAATTCCCTTTTTAAAAGCTGACAACGATCACCCTTTAGAATTTATACAAAAAAATATTTAAAAAACGAGCACATTCATTAATTCCTAAAATAATAGATAAGAAACTAATAATGTCGTTGGTATTTACCAACAGCTATCTGAAGTTGTTATTCCTATTAACAATATTTATTATCAATTATCCAATATCTAAAAAAATATAACTTACTGTCTATTCCTATTGTGAATAAAAAATTAAGTTCTGTAATAAAATTGGGAAAGGACTTGACGAGAAAGTAGGATAGAACTAATAGTAATGTTTGTTTAATTGTACCTAATAGTTCCCCATCCACTAATATTGGTGAATTCAGAAGTACATTAAAGAAAAGAATTAGTCAGTATAAAAACAAAAACCTTGATTCTGTTGTGAACAAGCATCAAACTGACTGTAATCATTCTTTTAATTTTAACCATGCAACAATGCTAGATCATGAAACTCTTTGAAGAAACGATTGATTTCTGAAATGATTTATATTAAATGCAATAATTTTACTATTAACAAAGGAAGACTGACAGTTCCTTAGTAATACCTATTTTTCTTTGCTTAATAAATTGAAGTAATGATTGTAATTCATATTATTTCCATTGCTGTTCACTGATTCTACCATCTGTATATAACGTTAAAATTGTAATCTGCTCAATCAGTTTAACTAATCACTTTTATCCAACATGTTTGTGATTTGTAAATTTAAATATTTTATATTTTTGTGTGTTTTATTTATTTATTTAATTTTATTTTACTGACCAGATGTCTATTCAATTGACTTTAAATAGGTAAAATTTTTTTGAATTAAAGTGACCAAACCATCGAAACGTCGTATATTTAAAAAAACAAAAGATAGTGTTTTTCTTTCATCTTTTACACATATCTTCCAAAAATCGAAAAAGAATTTATTACCTAAATACCTAATTGTAGAAGAAAAATCTTCATGAATTATATTCCTAGATATGAACAGAATTTTCTCAAAAAAATCGTTATACGCTCGTGGAAATGGATATAAAACTTTTAAAAATGATCTTTTTTCAAAATTTTATTGGCAGCTGTCAAAAGCTATTTTTGACATCAGATTCGTGTTTGGTACATCCAAAACCATAAGATGCACAGTCACAAGTAAAATTGTAAAGAAATTTAAAAGTAAAAAAAATCGGACAAGTGCGAGTTACACTCGCACTAAAATCGAGGGTTCCGTACACCAAAATTAAACTTCTTTTTTATAAAAAAATATACGGGGAAGAAATATGATTGATTAAAAGAAATAAATACAAATTAGGAAAGAAAGAAATCGATTAAATAACAATATCCCCCCTTTTAAATAGTACATATATATATAAACCTATTGAGATGAAATTCATGTACATATTCTCACATCAAGATTACAAGAAAAATATAGTATTATTCTATAATGTATGTAATATGAATATTCTGTAATCTAATCGTAAAACAACATATGAGGCATTATTTCTCAAACGTCCCAGCCAAAAAAAAAGTCTTGGGATTGGCTTTATATTTTGGGAAATTGTTATCCTATATGAAAGTAATAAATTTGCAAAATATTAGTTCTTTTAAAAAAAATTCTAGAAAGTAGTGTGGGTTGAAGTTTTGACATTTTCAGTAACACTGTGATTTTCAAAACCATATAACTTTTATAATACTTTACCGATTTTAATGTTTCTATAATGCATTTAAAGCATTTTTCATGTACTTTCTAAAAATTTTACAAAAAAATTTTTAAAAAAACTTTTAACCCTCTTTTTTTAAAAAATAAAGTTTATTTTTTTATTTTGACCCAAATGGGTATTTTTAAAAAAATTTTTTTTATTTTTATTTGAAAGCTGACATTTTTTCCAAAAAAAACATATATGTTTCATAGTGGGATGGCCATAAGTTTAGAAGATATTTAAAAACAAACTAAGCGGCGCGCCCGCGTCGCTGTACGTTACGCTGTCGCTGCGCCGTTGAACGACACAAATATTACTGTTTCCTCTTCATCTGCTTCAGTAAAAGCTCTCTGCATTCTACAGGGTTGAGACTGTCATAAAAATAATGCCTGCATTACTGTTACTAAAAAAAATTTTAAATAATTAATTTTGAAAACAGAAGGGTAAAGCTTAAAAAATTTTTGACTGAACAATTTTGAATAAATAATAAAATTATAATTATAAAGAAAATTATTTTTAATAAATAAATTAATTTTGAAAAAGAAAGCTTAATGCTTGAAAATCAAATACTTTTCTGATTCAATCGAAATAAAGATTTATATGTATATATATGTATTTTTGAAAAGCCTGCGTTAGTATTATTGTTAACTTGGGTTTAAAGTTAAAAGAGTTTTTTTTAATTTAATTGACGAGATAGTACATAATTTTTTTCATTTTTTACTCGGTTTTTGTTGTTGAGAAACTCGTGGTGTAATTTTTTTTACTTTTTTAGGAAAATTATCAAATCCCTTGTATAGTTTGAGCATTATCAAATTTGTTCTTTAATATTTTTTGCTGTCTATTTATGCAGTTTGCATACTACCGGATTATGCTATCTGCCTACGACATATATATATATA